TATTATCATACTTACATAAGAAATTAGGGAAAATTTGGTCAGCCTTCTCAATGATAAAGTTACATTTTGGACATCGATTACTTTCAGAAAGACTTCTGTTGATGCATTGATAACTATAAAGAAGGCAATCATTAAATTATTATTTATCAATAAATCTTTAATACAAATTGCAAACTTTAGTACTTTAGTAAAAAGGTTCTTTTTTTTAAATGTTATGCTGCATTATTTAGAAAAAACAGAAGTGTTAAAACAAAAACAAACATAAAACAACAAATCAAATTCAAAATTCCGCAATGATTCATTGAAATCTAATTAATTCAGAGCGTTATAAGCTTAACTATTTTTAGCTTGTCAAGAATATCCTCGRGCTTAATTAAAAGCCATAAAAAAAGTCAATTATTTAGCTTACCAGAATGTATGGCCACACTTAGTCATAAAAGCTTCGTCTATTGTATCAAAGCATATTGGACTGGTGAAGATAAAGTACAGAAACATCAAGGTCACGAATCAGTAATACGAGCTGCAAAACCACCAYTACTRCACAACTGTGCAACAATTATTTCACTGTCAAATCGCGTAACTAACTTCRATATTTTGTCTATTTAGCTAAAGATTTCCCTCAATATATTGTCAGTAGGCCTACCACAGAAAATCACTGTTTCTGTCRCTGAAAGAGTTAGTAATGCCTCCATATATCGGTGGATGTGGTCTCTTGTTGCCGCGGCGCCGTCCTCCACCGCGTTGACTCGATGAACTTGATCCAAGATCGCGAGCCATGATTTCTTGATGAGGTAACTCAAATTACAATTTACTGAAGACCAAACGAATTGTCAATTATTCATTTACGTTAATTTGTTTAAGAAAAAAACGATTTTAACGGTAAATCACTTATTAAATAAAGCAAAAAAATCTGTACACTCTTTGTTTATGGCATTTTGGCCTTGACCTGGTCGAGTTTGCGCACATCGCAACATTTCAATCTCAGCTGTTATGGTCACCCTGTGTAACTTACTTACTTGAGAGACAAATTTCTTTGATTTTAAAATCCAAGAATGTCTGCATTACTGTTGAATCTATCTTATCTTATTGCTTTTATTCTTTACACTTTACAACCCTAATTTTACCTTGTGTCTTAGTTACCTTAGTAAACAGAGTCACTCCTTTATTATGTTTTACGAAATTTTGCAAGGGAAAAACAAATTATTGAAAAGTACATCACAAAAGGAAAAGAAAAATCAAAATAAAAGAGAGAGGGAAAATGAAACGAAAGAAAGATAAAAGATGCTCAAAATGTCCAGGMGTTGCTTTCCAATATTACCCACAATGCCTCAAAAGCGCGGTATTCTTTAGTTCTCACATGTGTGGTACTTAGGGTTTATTTGAAAAAATCCCTTATATTTTTGCCTCAAAGCTCTCCATAAATTCGACATTTTAACTTCAAATCTACAAGCACTTTATCTTATTGGTACATTCTTTCAAACTCCATGGCATCGCCTGGAAATACGATAAAAAGYGAAAGTTCTACAGCCACAAATGGCAGTRCAACTGACACGACCAAAACGGCCACTTCTTCTGCAACGACAACAACTTCTTCGGCATCTTCGATCAAGGTCATTGATTTATTAATGGTGTTTGCTAGTATATTATAGGCTTGAATTTATAATTTAAAAACTGGTGTAGAAGTTGCTGTTTTATTTTTGTTTGCTCATATTTTTCATGCAGTTCCTTAAGATCAGTCTAAATAAGACAGAATATAAGCTTTGAAAGCGAGCTGTTCTTTGTATAATAACTTGGTGTAATGATGATTGTTAGTGTTGGTGTTGCTATAACGTCATGATCTTTTACAGAAACCAAGCTATCAGYTAAAATACACATTATCTGGTCACAACAAAGCTATATCCTCTGTCAAGTTCAGTCCCAATGGTGAATGGCTTGCAAGCTCTTGTAAGTTCCATATTGCAATGTGTCTATAAGTGGMTCATAATTGTATGGACCATGAGATCTAGAAGTATAATGACTAGCTGAATGTGTGAGCTTTATATACAACTTCTATATAGTATATTCAATGTACAGTGTATGGCTACTCAAAAATGTTAWTGTCTATCTCATTTAGCGGCAGACAAGCTGATCAAGATATGGGGTGCTTATGATGGAAAGTTTGAAAAAACCATCTCTGGACATAAACTTGTGAGTTGTTTATRAATTTTAGGGKATMACATTATTATTACTAYATGCTATAATCAATGCCGYAAGCTACTATCCTTATTTTTMTTATGTCATATGATTATTAAAATATTTTTCAYATTATCCAGGGAATYTCTGATGTYGCTTGGTCGTCAGACTCAAGACTCCTAGTTTCTGCTTCAGATGATAAAACTTTAAAAATATGGGACTTTTCTACAGTGAGTAGTCTGTGTTTCTATGATTGTTTTAGATATTTCTTTTAACAAAATGTTATATCTTTTTCTTGCCAGCTTTTGTGTGCATTAATTTCTCTTTCTCTTGACAGTATAGCTCCTAGAATCATAAAAAACATGATGTGATGTATATTTTCTTGCAGGGAAAATGCCTCAAGACACTAAAAGGACACAGTAACTATGTCTTCTGTTGTAATTTTAACCCTCAATCAAATCTTATCGTCAGTGGATCAGTAAGTCATAGAAATGATTACATCATTGTACTTTGTACTAATACTACAAAGTGTTACTTCCTTGATAATTCTACCTTGTTTCTGTGTAGTTCGATGAAAGTGTTAGAATTTGGGATGTGAAAACTGGAAAATGCCTTAAAACTCTTCCTGCACACTCAGACCCTGTCACAGCAGTAAGTATACATGGAGTYGTTGCACAAAGATTGTATGGGACTATCATCTCCATTKATTTCATGGACTTTATCTGAGCATTATCAACTGTTCTGAACATTTGAAGTGTGATAAAATCATAACTASATTAGCCATGWATTCTGGCTGTTTCTTGTGAAGTTCCTTAKCAACAAGTTGGCTTTTCTGATGTGTTATTTTCATGTCTTTCAGGTTCATTTTAACAGAGATGGTGCTCTCATTGTATCAAGTAGTTACGATGGATTATGGTAAGTTGTTCTACGGTAACTGTACATATATTGAATGGCATCTCTATGCCATCTCTTGTATTTACAYGTTATTGTGTTATGTTTCAGTCGGATTTGGGATACTGCTTCTGGACAATGCTTAAAGACACTTATTGGTGGGTGCAATTTTTTCTCACTTTCCTTACTTTAATAGTACTTAATGAGAAGGGTGAATTTTATTATACATTGAAAAAAAATATGCTGTAATATTTTCAAATGTTAGTTCTTTTCTTAAAAATAACTTTCCACTAATTCTTATCTTATGGTTATGAAATGTTTTGTCTTCCAGATGATGACAACCCTCCAGTGTCATTTGTAAAATTCTCACCCAATGGCAAATACATTTTGGCAGCTACATTAGATAAGTGAGTCTTATTTACTGTAAAATATTGAAGACAACTTAGGGAAACTAATTCCAATTTCTTCTTGTTGCCTCTTCAGCACACTAAAACTGTGGGATTATAGCAAAGGAAAGGTAAGTCAGCTGTTTTTTCTTATTAGTTAGATAATTTTTATTTCTTACATGTTTATTTATTGTATAATGCTTTTTATTTACAGTGCTTGAAGACATACACTGGCCATAAGAATGAAAAGTACTGTGTTTTTGCCAACTTTTCTGTAACAGGAGGAAAGGTATTTAAAGCTGTTATACTGTTCTCTTGAACAGTATACCTTAGTTATAGTTTTTGATTTCATTGAGAATTCTACTTATATATTTTGAAGAAGGACAAAATGTTTTCTCTGATTTTGYAGTGGATTGTATCAGGCTCAGAAGATAACATGGTTTATGTGTGGAATCTTCAGTCCAAAGAAGTTGCCCAAAAACTAGAAGGACATATTGGTAAGTTTCTATTTAAGATATAATGTGATATYATAATATGTCACCATGGTTTCCCTAATATGCTCATAATAGTATGCTCATAAATTTGAATGTTTCTCTTTAGATGTTGTGCTATGCTGTGCATGCCATCCCACAGAAAATATCATTGCATCAGGTGCCTTAGAAAATGACAAGACCATCAAGATTTGGAAGTCAGACACATAACCAAAGAACTTTATAGCACTTTATACCTTTCTTACATTATTATAATATTATGCCAATTCCTTTCCTGGATTTATAATGTACATAATGTAGCAAATCTTGAAGAGATCCATCACTCAAAACACTCATGACTCTTGTTAAGCCAGACAAGTGCTGTGTCTTGAAGTGATAGCTCTCTCTCTCTCTCTCTCTGAAGTCTTCGAGAATCCAGCTCTTCTTAGGATGAATAGGAAAACCCATTACAAAGACATAATATGTAGAAAAACAATAAATTGATATCCATGGACAGAAACTAAAAGCATTATTGACTTGTGTGTAAGCTTCATGTTCTTAATGTGATTTCAACAACGTGTAATTTGTGTGTAACATAGATTATTTAAGAATTAATGTACTCATTTGRCAAATCTGTATATTGCTTACTTTGCTGCCCCCACAATGTTCAAAATACATCCACACATACCCAGAAATTTTTGTGTCTGCAAGTTAAGAATTCGTGCTAGCATGTGTTGCATCATCTGGAATTTGCATGGAATTTTGAAAAATTGCTCTGAAAATACTGTACACTGGTTCCATAAATCTGTGAGTTTTCGATTTCCTTTTGATTTTGTTTTATTGTATGGAAGAAAATATATTGTTAGTCCACTGTTTTCTCAATTAATTAAGAGATTTTTTTTGCTTCCAGATGGATGGAAATAGTCTACAAATACTGATAAATGTTGTGATAGAGCAGAGTCACATGAACCATGAAATAAGAACTAAAAAGTACTAACTAATAGGCACTATTAGTTCCTAATAGTCATTAGCACTGAACCAGAACAGTTTATTTGATCCAATAAGCAATACCCAAGAGAACACTATAACAATCAAAGTAATTTCTTTGTACTGTTCTGGTTCAGTGATAGTGTCTAAATAGTGCCTATAAGTTACTAAATATTTCTATTCTACTCTGCTCTACATCGATCAATCAAATTTCTACTATTCGGGATTCCTGTGGAAAAGATCTACAGGAATCCCAAATTAATCATGGCTGCCRTGAAACAGCATCGCAAATGCTGCAGTTCTCTTTGTCATGTTTTTTCGCGATTTTAAAAAGACTATGCGATTCATAAGAAAGGGATTGTATGTTGGAACTAGAGAAGACGCTAAAAATCGGGATATTTTGGTGAAAAATGCCATCGCACGTGTCTTGACAGTGGACATTGAACCAGTGTTTGAGATGGAGGGAGATATCAAGACYCTTTATATAAACTGTCTTGACGAACCTTCAGCTGATTTGCTGACGTCTTTGGATAGATGTGTTGAMTTTATTGAAGATGGTCTTACAAACAATGAAGCTGTTCTTGTTCATTGGTACAAAAAGCAAATTATGCTGTTATAAGTAWCTTTATCAATCCTCCCCACYCCTCSTCCCCTTAGGCAACAGTAATTGTAAAATTAGAAGAATAGTGAAAAAAACATTCTTYTCTTTCAACTGAGCATGCACAAGAAACTCCAATCACCCAATCAATGTTCATTCTTTTGAAACTTTTCAAATTGATAAAGTATTTTTCTCAACAAGGGAGTCAGCCTTCTTGTTCATTACCTTTAACTTGTACACATATCTTTTTACTAGTCTTTCAGGTGTGTCTCGCAGTGTKACCATAATACTTGCATTTTTGATGAAAATAGACAATATGACTGTAGATGAGGCCATTTCCAATCTGAATGAAATTTATGCCCCTGAAAAAATCAGGTGAGATCACTGTTTATTAATAGTGCTAAAAATCTGTGGTCTCAGTGAATCAATCAATCAACCAACCAATCAATCAACCAATTTATCAATCAATCAATTCTTCAGCCCAAATACAGGATTTCTTGACCAGCTGAKACTTTACGAAGAAATGGGAAAAACAGTTGACCTTTCTAGTGCAGTTTACAAACAATTCAGACTGGAGCTCCTTGCAAGCCAAATACAAGGTAATTATTTGAAAAAATCTTGAAATGACGTGTTCTGAAGCTACAAGGAACAATTTTGTTTATATTACAAACAGAAGGAAATCAGACAGACAGCAGAATATTGTCAAAATTCCTTGAAGAAGTCAAGTCTAGGAATAGTTCCAGTGACAAAATATTTAGATGCAGAAAATGCAGGTAACTGTTAAT